CACCAGAATTGGACACGTGGCACCACCGAAAATCACGATGGAAATGAACCGGATACAATTACAGTCTTGTGGAGTAATGATCAAGCAGCCCAAGATAATGGTGGTTTGGATCCAACTGCAACCGAAACCGAACAATTCATGGATCCGGCCTAAACCGGTGACATTCCTCACAATAATAGCAGCCCATTGCAACCCGTTGATGATCATAATAACGTGCAAGTTCCGTCCCACACAACTATTCTACACAAACTTCAGTGTTGCCAAGAAAATTAAATGACTACGAGCTTAATGTGGATCATTTAATGTTGTCATTGTATGAAGAACCAGAGAATTATAAGGAAGCCAAAACGAACAAAAATTGGCTCGATATTACGAAGGCCTTAGCTCGGATAAGGTTCACAAAGATGAGATCCTTTCTTGGTGTGTAAGAATCACCCTCGACTTAGAAATTCAGGAGGTGATTGTTGGAGAATTAATTTGAGTCCAATAAGACAGTTAGCATGTTTGGATCAGATCACAAGAACTTGGAGTGTTGTCCAAGGTTTACATACAAGTCTTCCTTGAGCCGTAAGGAATGCTTATATGGAAAGTATTAAAGAATCCTAGTTCAATACTAGTAAGATATGTTTAGTATAAATTAGATAGGTTCATGTATTGTGTTACATTAGGTTGAAGTTTTCGAGTTATGTTTCTTCAATAAAGTCAGAAATGAGTTTTGGAATTCCTGCTTTCTCTGTTTATTTTCTTTAATAAACCACTTAGATATAAAAGATTAAAAGTTTGGTAATTTTCATGAGCATATTTGAGATTATCCAACATATATGCATGAGTTCCAAAAATGATCATTTATGTTCTTTTGTCAAGAAGGAAGCATAATGATCATTTATGGTCTTTTGTTGAATATTGAATATAACATATTTCAACTATGATATCTATTATATATATATATATATATATATATATATATATATATATATATATATATATATATATATATATATATATATATATATATATATATATAAAACTAGAATTAGATAAAAATATCGTACTGATATGATTTATTAACCAACTAGGTTACATTATTTTATGTAGTTGATTTATTAATCAACTAGTTTACATTTATTTTATATATGTTGATTTATTAATCAACTAGTTTACAAATATTTAATGTCGATATGATTAATACATCAAGGGCAGAATGTAATGAGATAATCAGGCCCGGTAGGGCACGTAAAAGTGCTTGTCTTATCGTCGTAAGCATAACTATAAGCCTTTGGGCAAAGATTTTCGAAAAACTTGGAATAATTAGTTGGTGGGCATGTCTCCGGTCTATTGTAGGCGCCAGTGCAACAGTATTGTGGCTGGTTAAACGCCGCGCATGCACTTTTGCAACCGATTGTGCTACCGGATCCATCATTCACAGCCAACTCTGATAGACAACTAGCGTTTATGTCAACAGGACACTCGGTGGTTGGACAACCCCCGCCTTGTGGAACCACAGAAACCGGTAGATTAAAACCATCAACAAGGCTAACATCGTAATAGTCTTTAGAACTCGCATCTGCTAAGGTGAACTCAACTAGGGTTGCAGGTGGGGCTGCACCAGCACCGTTGCATTCTACTTGACCAGAACCACAATCTCCGCTGCTGCAACTGTATCTTCCACCATTATTTGAACAACCGAACCGAGCCCATACCCGACCGGACCATGATGGCGTCATGTTAATGGAGTTTGAGGCCTGGGGTGGCAGTTCAAATCCTGTTGTCACTGGTGTTCCAGTACTGGTCAAAGTGCCTGGTGCAATGGTGAATGCGCAATTGTTTTTTATTGTGAAGACCGTTGAACGAACGCCTGCAAAATATTTGATTTAATAAGCATAATATGCATGAAAAATCACATATCCAACGATCAACAAAGATCAAAACCATGTGTATTGTATGTAGATATATGCATGCAAAAAACTAAAATGTTACCATAAATTAAACTGATGGATAGGAAAAGGAAGAAGAGATGACGAATCGCCATGTTGACTACGTTTGTGGAAGTTATACGAAAATGGTCGAAGGGAGTTTGGGTTTTATAGGTGTAGTAGCTACATTAATTAGAAATGGACACGACAACAAGCTACATATTTAATAATAATAATAATAATAATAATAATAATAATAATAATAATAATAAGCTCCATTCAATAAGTCACTGCATTCCTGCGGTAATCTCCGATTTAATATTACCGTCGGTAATCTGTAGTTAGTCCTCCACTTTTCTTGTAGTGAAAAATATTTAAGTTCTTAGAATAATCTACATCATGACAAGTTCAAAACGAATTAATCATTTCAAATTCGGACGATCTCTTGTACGTAGAGTTATTATATATATATATATATATATATATATATATATATATATATATATATATATATATATATATATATATATATATATATATATATATTATTTATTTATTTATTTATTTATTTTTTTTGTAAAAATAGGTTTCTAATCTTTTTGAATTAGTTTGTAGAAATAGGTTTATTTGAAAAACCTTTATAGAAATAGGTTAGTTTATAGAGGGACCATAATTCTATCACTAACAACTCTTATTTAGAGGGACCCATAATTCTATCACTAACAATTATTTACTCACGATCTAACTAAAAATTGATATGTATTTTCATCTTCAACCCTACTTTTTACAATTTCAGCCTTTTTAATTTGATATTATTTTTCATTTGCCTCTTCTATATATAAAACTCCAAACTTTACCTCTATTATATATCATGAATAATTTAATTTATTTAAAATATATAGTTATAATTTACATAATATTTTTTAAATACATACCACTATTGAATAATTTAAAATATATAGCTATAATTTACATAATCTTTTATTAATAATTTTGTGTATTTCAAGTTATTGAGAGAAATATTTTTTTATTTTATTTCTTAAAAATAACATATAAATTAGAATTATACACTTTAAATAAATTAATTGTGTGTAAGTAATAATAATGGTAAAACATGGTGTTTTCAATAATAAAAAAGGTAAATAAAAAGTAGATAAATTTTGAAGGGTTAAAATTATAACATATGAATGTTAGAAATGTAAATATATTAAATTTTTTTAGTTGGAAACGTTAGAAATAGTTAAGAATAGTTAGGACCGTTAGATTTGTAAAGCTAGTGGGGCCATTTTAAAAAACAATCTATTTCTATAAAGGTTTTCCAAACAAATTTACTTCTACAAATTGATTTAAAAATAGCCTAGTTTTACAAAAAAAAAAAAAAACTCCTTGTATGTAGATAGTATCTAAACATTTACTGCAATTTATCAACAAAATGAAAATAAGCATCGCGTTTCACATCCCACATAACATACGAACATACACAAGATTGAATATATATATATATATATATATATATATATATATATATATATATATATATATATATATATATATATATATATATATATATATGATTAGGTTAATTTGTTTTTACTAACTATTGTGTGTCAGAATGCATAGATCTGAACCATCGGATGAAATATAATCAAATGTCATGATTTGAGGATCTATGATAGTAAAATAGGACAGCATGTACCATATAATCACACAAATTTCAGCATAAGGGCATTTTAGTCAATTAACGTATATTAAAAAAGGAAATTTTCGGATTTCTAGGGATAGTTAATTCCTTTCTTTTTTAAAAATATGAATATTTTAAATTAATTCAAATTTAAAAATCCGATTTATTCTGTCGGAATGATAGAATACCAACCATAAACTAGTAAATATATTTTTTGATTTTATTCTATCAGAATGACAGAATGCCAACCATAAACTACTAAATACATTCTGAAAGAATACACAAAATTAATTCTTGAACTAATAATATAACAAATAATTACATTGTATGATTATAATTCATTGAATAATAACAACATTCTGAAAGAAATGATTTTTAAGCAACACTTTATACATTGTAGCATAACACATTCTGGTATAATACACTCTCGTTCTGTATATTTTCTTCCTTCTTCATATCAATGTTAGCCTCTTAACAACCTAAATCCACAAAGAAAACATAATCAAGTTTCAAAAATCAAACAATTCAATGCATTCTAATAGAATAAAAACTATAAATTCTGACTGAATGTATTAAAGACTATAAAGTTTGACAAAATATAGTAGAAAAATAAAACTATAAATTATGATAGAATGTAGTAGAGACTATAAAGTCAACCATAAAGTATCACAAATTCATTACCAGTTAAACAAATATACTTGTTGTGAGATTGACATTTTGTGTATGTTTGACCTCTAAGCCACTTCAAAATATGCTAGCATTCTATGAGATTGACATTTTGTGCGATTGGCATTCTGTCAGAATTGTATTGCATGCGAATGATTTTATACAAGGAGCTGCAAAAAGGAGATAAACATAAGCATGATTTTATACAACATACATTAGAATAAGTAGAATAATTTGAAGTGAACATTTTATCAAACCAACATATTAAATTTCATTCTAACAAAATTGGAATTCGTGATTCCATTCTGGCAGAATTACCCTCATCATATTAGATACTAAGATGATTTTGCCACTGCTACTAATTGAAGATTATTCCTTTGGTGCTTGATATTCATGAGGAAGATAAGAAATAAATTTTTCACCAATGTTTTTTTTTCAAATATCAAATTCTACAAGATAGAATACAAACATGATAAAGTAATTGTTTATAGGTTATCTGAAACTATTCTAAAATTCTATGTGCCTGAAGTCGGATGACTTCACCATCTGATTTTTTGATGTACTGGTAAAATTCAGGTTGAGCAAGTGAATCATTGACTGAAGACTTCACCATCTTTATGTGATGGATCTCAAAAAATCAAGAATATAGTATCAAATGGGTAAATAAAATTAGGAAAAATCAAACACTTACATATAATGTTAGAACAACTTCCATGAAATAGCCCCTGAATGTAGCTCCAATGGGTTCGCCAGTGGTTGAACAGATCGCAAGGAAGGGAGATCTAATCTCCAGCAGGCTTCCCTTGGTTCACTATCTCCGTCTCTATCAGCCACCAATCGTAGAAAGGAATGGAACGGAGGCAGCAGTGTTGCCGTCAAGTGGCAGCGACGGCTACTCCTTCTATCCGACAACAATCACGCAGGGAGTGAAAGACTTCGATCCTCAGTTGATCGGAGAAGAAAGAAACACACAAACATTCAGAAAATGGCCGATGACTCTTAATCGATCGCAAGGAAGGGCTGCAATCAGCGGTGGGAAGTCGCTGAATTTCTTCTCTGTAGTGGTGATGTTCCAGGCAGGAAACGAAGGTGGAGGATTAGATCAAATATATTACTTTATTTCCATAATTGTAGGATTTCAATTAAATGATTTCCTTAATTAAAAGTACAAAAGGTCCAAAATACCATTTATTGATTTATTTAATTATTTATTATTTCTTGAATTCTCATTGGTGCATTTAGGCACACAATATTTGTTGAAAACATTTGAACATCTCTCTCTCTCTCTCTCTCTCTCTCTATATATATATATATATATATATATATATATATATATATATATAGGGTTAGGTTATTTTGTTTTCACTATGTATTGTGTGCATGTATGATTGATTATGGACCAATCATTTTAGTTATTTTAAGAAAGTAATTAATGCATATTACATGTTGAAGATATAATGGATATTAATTACATCTTCAGCATTTAATATGCATTAATTACTTTCTTAAAATAACTAAAATGATTGGTTCAGAATCAATCATACATGCACATAATAGATAGTGAAAACATTTGAACCTAACTCTCTCTCTCTCTCTATATATATATATATATATATATATATATATATATATATATATATATATATATATATATATATATATATATATATATATATATATATATATATATATATATATATATTAGTTGTACCGACGGAAATGGATAACGGATACACATATGTTTTCCAACCAAACATGTTTTCTTAAACTATGCTAATTATTAGCTTAATATACCCAAAAACATACTTTTTATTTTTTATTTTTAAAAAGCTATTTTTTCGAAAAAAAAATTTAAATATATCAAAATTCATAATTTTTTATTCTCTATTAACATACATCGATATTGATATAGTTTTAAGATAAAATAAAAAATTTATTTTTTTAAAGTATCAACTGTCGTTATTCATAAGTAAATAAAAATTCATCAGATTTTTATTACAGTACATTCGTTATTCACTTATGAATAAAATGTATGCTTAATTTTTTTTTTTTTTTAATAATTTGAGTATTGTTCATATATGAATATAGCACATAATAAAATTTTCATACTTAAAATATATTTTTTACATCATCTTTCGTCATATATTATATTTATATATGAATAATCCTTTTATCAGATTTTTGTTACAGTTAATTTGTTATTCATATATGAATAAGTAGTATAAATAATATTTCAACTATAAAAAAAATTAAAAATATTTTTTAATTAATAAGTGAATAACGAATGTATTGTAGTAAAAATCTAATGCATTTCTATTCACTTATGAATAACGATAACTGAAACAATAAAAAATAAAATTTTTAATTTATCTTAAAACTATATCAATATGAATGTCTATTTGTAGAGAATAAAAAATTATGAATTTTGATATATTTAAAATCATTTTTTGATAAAAATAGCTCCTTAAAAAAAGGAAAAAAAAACTATGTTTATGTATATATTAAGGTAATGATTAGTATAGTTTAAGGAAACATGTTCTGTTAAAAAACACATGTCTATTCAATTCTCATTCTGCCGGTACGATTGAGGCTTTTGCGGCAAAATAAATGAGTTGCTGAGAATGATTTAAATGAAATTGCCAAATGGATTTAAATGAAATTGAAAAAACTAAAAAATGTTATGTGACATATTGAATTAGGTGGTGACATGAGATAAAAAACTTATATATGTGTATATATATATATATATATATATATATATATATATATATATATATATGTATGTATGTATATATATCTATATATATATATATATATATATATATATATATATATATATATATATATATATAGAGAGAGAGAGAGAGAGAGAGAGAGAGCTAGATTCATTTGTTTAAACTAATTATTGTGTTATTGTATACATAAATGTGGGCCAATCAAAATTTAAAATATAAATAAATAATTAAATAAGGGTAAATAGGTAATTTGATAACTAGTTTCCGCAAATAATATCCTATAATTATGGTAAACATTGACTATTCATGAAGATTTATGATATTCTTCTACTGTTCATCGTGGTATTTTTTCTGTTTTTTTGGATCTGAATTGTTTTCAGACAAAAGTCTTTTGATTCAATAAATGTATGTTTCAAAGTCAAGTTTTTATTGTGTTCGATCCTACTGTTCAATTTTTTTTTATTTGGATCTGAAAATCGATTATTCCAACCGACGTTACGCCTACTATTCATCCGATTCAAAGAGTCCAAATCATCCATCGTGATATGTTTCCGTGCACATCAGTTTTCATTGACCTAAATGGTAAATGTTTTCTCTTTCCAGTTCTCTCTGGTTGTCGCATCTTCTGTTCATTGACTTGATTCCAAAATTGTTATTATCAATAGTCAAAATCAAGTTTTCGTTCATGTTCAGACAATCGAATCCAAGTTGTTTGATTTGTTCTTCATCGATTTTGGTCAATCGATTGATATGGTTGTGATAATTTTTGTTTTCGGGAATCATTTTTTTTGATCTGAAAATCATTTTGTGTAAATCAATTTGGTGTTTTTCAAGTATTTCAATTGGAACAAAAATTGGATGTCCCTTTTCTGAATATTGATATCAAGTAAAAAGTGTTTAGCTGCTCAAATCGGAATCGTGTTGATAAATGGTACGAATCGGAATTAGATTGGATATTCATCGGAACTAAGGAAATAAGTGGTCAAAATCTGAACCATTCTTATGGTAATAAACGATCTGGCAATCGAAATTGAGGGGATATGAAGTTAATTTCGGAACTGTTTCTCACGAGAATAGACATTTTCAGAATTGAAGTGCCAGTCAAGCAAAAGGTCAAAATCAAATTTGTGTATCTCATGATACGAACGATCTCACTACGAACCAACGAAATCAGGGACCAAAAGTGCCGCAGGTGAGGACCTCGGTGGTGTTTGCTTGAAGATCACGATGTTTCCTTGTTTTGGCAGTTCCAAATCAACCACAGGTAAAAATTTCTTTTTGGATTTTGTTTGTTTGTTTGATAGAAATCGTTAGGGTGTTTGGGTTTGCTGGGAAATCAATGAAAATGAAGGGAATTTGGGTTTGTTGATTCACAGGAAATCAATGAAGAAGGAAGAAATTAGTTTTTTTAGCAGCCTCTAGCTGCGTCAACTTCTGTTTCTTAGAAGTAGTGATTTGGGGGTGGTGTGGTGTGACATCCCCTAATTTCTCGTCCAGAAAAGACCGATTTAATTTATGCTTTTTAAAATAAAATCAGAGAAATATTTTTAAAAGATGTTGTGGAATTTGTTCCCAAAACAAAACATGATAAAAGTTTATCAAAACCTTCTTTAAGAAATGTATAGTTTCATTTCATATCAAAACCTCGGGATGTCATGTTCCGATACAGATCAAAAGCATAAACAAGACATTATAAGCCTTTCAACAGTTATTTACAACTACTGGTCTATAATCCAAAAATCTCTCATCGTCCTCCACCTATGCTCGGGGTCCACTACCTGTATTCATAAAACTGAGTGGGTCAGGCTTGGGAGCCTGGTGAGCATATAGGATTTCAACCCACATTAATAATATACTTATTAAGTTCGCCAATTAACAATACCCCTGATTACCCATTCCCATTGTCCTCACTTTACATCCCTAAACACCTATCGCAAAGGACCTAGCCTAAGGAATATCATCGGGATGGACACTACTGCTAAGGGGTTTCCTCAGCCATACATGTCCTAAAGGCAACCATGAGGGGGATAGAGTACGCCAATGAACATTTAATTCATCAACACCTACAAGTTGCGAACCTGCTAGTGTTCCACTGGACTGTCTAGAAAGGTCCGTGGTCATCATCTATACTCCGCTAGACAACTTCACCGATAACACAAACAACAACACCGACACCGAGGCCTCTCATCATTTTTAACACCCACCAACTATTTTCTCTACATTGTTCTACCCAACTTATTTGTAGATAAAATACATATACAGTTTAAAACTTGTATAAAACATCAATTCAACAGTCACCTCAAATAAACAATTAACATATTTATACATAACACGTATTTCAAGGTAAATACTTCATATTTATGTGTAAATTGAAAGTAACTACACACTCACATGTTTTGATGAAAATCAGGCAACAATTCATTTCCTAAAACGATCGTTTCTAATAAAACCGACAGTTTTATTGAGAAACCGGGCTCTGCAAAAGTCGGACTTCGAAACCGAAAAGATAAATTTTTCGGGATTCATGGGCTCTTCGTGGCGTATTCCGGGGGTTACAATCGACATCGGGGCTTCGGGGAAGGTTAAGGTGAAGAAAAGATGAAGAAAGGGGTGAAAAATGGCAAAAATCCAAATCTACCCATGAAGGCTCGCAGGTCCCCTTCTATTTATAGGGTCCGAAGTCGGATTGGTGGTGGGGTTCGCAGGTGGCTGCACGTGTGAAGGCCTCGGTGGCAGTTGCTGATTGGACCGAGGTCTACTGGTCCATGTGCAAGGCTCGGAAGCTAGGGGTGCGAGGCTCAGAACACGCGACAACAAGGCGAAGCTTCGGCTGGAGAGCTGGCTGCTTCGGATTGGGCCTCCCTTCGGTCGAATCAGGATCTGACACATGGCTTCGCATAACTCAGCAACTCGGATGACTCAGCAGGACACGTGGCGCGTTTTGAGCGAGGGTGACGTGGCAACTCGTGACTATGCGAATTTTCTCGATTTTCACGCCAAACTTCTAAAATCCATAACTTTCACATACGAGCTCTGTTTTTGACGTTCTTTATATGCACGCGTAGCTAAAAGTACGCTCTACAACTTCCGTTTAGACTTCGTCGTCTAATTTTGAACTTAATTTTATTATTATTATTTTTAACAGACTAGAACAGAAAATCCGTTAAAAATTCATAACTTCTTTATCCGACGTCCGCTTTCGACAGACTTTTTACCGTTGTGCTACTAATGACGAGACCTTCAATTCTCATTTAGGTTGTGTCGGCTAAAAATCGTTCGATCTAAAATTCGAGTTTTTAGTTGTCTACTGCTAAGCTGAAACTTCGAAAAATCATAACTTCCTCATACGAAGTCACATTTGGGCGTTCTTTTTATCGAACTTCTCGGTTTAACGAATACAACGACTTTCGTTTAGATTAATAAGGATA